CCCATACTGAAAATAATCAGGTGAATAGTGCAAATTTGTAAATTGGTATGGGTTGAAATTCGCAATAGGGACCACATAAAACGTGTGTCGAGAAAACCTGTGACTAAAATATTGAACCGATAGCTAGCTGTGCACACGTGTTGTCTTTGCAGAATTGCGAAAATCCAAATTTTTGCTAGTATTTCAGATTTGATCGATGTTGCGACAGAAGAAAAACAAAAATTGTTATTTTAAGGCGATAAGACGAGATATGGCTTGCCTCGAGACAGGACATCGGCTTTTTTGATCGTTAGGTCCTTCGGACATAGTTATGTCTGGTTGCGACAAAAGGGTCGCACTTGTCGCAAGCACGCGATGACAGATTTTATGTCCAATGTAAACACCAAAAGCGTAAGTGCGACCCCTGCCATATATTTGTGAATGCCATGGACTTGGCATTCGTATCTTCTAGTATCTGCTTAAATAATAGGCTTTATTTCACCTGTTCTCTCGAGGTCCAATAACAGTGAATCGCCTTGAAACGCTCATTATTTTCTTTTTCGTTGCTTCCCCGCCATGGAACAGACGCTCGTCGTAATTAGTCGTGATCTTCCTCACCGATCGCGAATTTCCAATTGATCATGGGTGTAGATAATGCGTATTCTAAATGTATAAGGACTGTAAGTCTTCTTTAAGTTTGTGTCGTCCTAAACGAGCCGTATATTATATATATATATATGTAGCAGGGGCGAAGCGAGAGATTTCGAAGGTGTATGCACAGCGCGGAAATTGGGAGCGCCGAAGGCGCCCCAAACGAGGGGGGTCTGGGGGCATGCTCCCCCAGAAAATTTTGAAATTTAGGGTCTCGGAAATGCCATTTCGAACTGTTACCGCGGATTTTTTTTTTAATTAAATGCGACGGAAATTGCAGTGGTTAGTTGTTTACTTTACCCATCTCTAGAGTTTTAAAGCTAAAAGGGTTGATGGCTTCCTAAAATATCTAGAGAGTTAAGAAGTTTAAGAAACCAAAGACAGTTTCTTGTCGTTTATGGATCAACGAAAAAGCACCGGAAAAACAAACACACGCGCTAGTATAATTCGAAATTTAAAATCGGTCCTATTTTATGGTAGCTGTGACAAATGCTATAAGGGAATAAAAAAATGTTTATATATTTCCAGATTTCAGCTGTACGCACGGACGTAGCGCGTATATGGACGCTATGCCCCTGTATAGGATATAGCGATTAAGCTATTGTAATGTAAATAATAACATTGGTACGATTGACTTACCAAACAATGTTTTTATGTTTGTTCAAGCTTGTCTCTTCCTCTTTTACTTTGCATCTAAACTTGTTTTTCTTTCTGAAATTCTTGCAGCCTTTCCCCTCTTCGTAAAAAACGCGACACAATCCACAATTGCTTCTTAAGGTCCTTGACCTTTTTCCGTTACCGGCGCGTCTGGCACGTTAGAAGACATGTTCGCAAACTGATCGACGGATCTTACTAAAACTGGGAACTGGGAACGGGGAAAGGGTGTACAGCGGTAACCCACCAGAGAATTCAAAATGGCGGAGTAAACGATGTTACAAACACTGATTTTATCGCTAGGTCGCCGCTTGCAGCGAAATTAGACGACTCGCTTTTATTTAACTATTGCCCAGGCGAAGCCACGAAGCCTAGTATTCCGAGGCGAGAATTCGAAGTCAACTTTTCTGCAATGGCTGCCACCATTTGTTCCGACGTCTCTCTTTGGAGGAAAACCTCATTACCTTGCAGTACAATTACTCTATGAATATAAGAATAAATGCCGCTAGCTTGTAGTTCTGAGTTGATTGTTCAGATGTTGTGCATGAATTGTAAGATACCTCTCCGAAGATTTGATTTCTATACAACCTGCAATGTATGCCAGACAAAAACTAAATTTATGAGGCACTCAACATTTCGAAGTAAAATCCTTCCATAAAACCTACACTTACCGTCCATGCTTTTTTCTCCGACGATCGCGTTCGAAGAGCACGTCCTCAAAACTAGTTGCCAGGCCCTTTTAGTTCCCTTTACTCCGCCATTTTGAATTCTCAGGCGGGTTACCGCTGCACACCCGTTCCCCGTTACCAGTTTTAGTAACATCCCTGATCGACCTTGACCTAAATGCTCCACATTGCAAGGTCAAAGTCTTTGTCGTCATTCAAGACGCGTGAACCCCCTAGGGATCCCTGCATATTTCAATTGGTTTGTCACACATTCCTCTCAGTAGGGACTTTAAGCAGTCAGGACGGAAACGCCACCATATGACGCCACGGAAGACGTCGATTAAAAAATGAGTTTCTACTTTTAGTTAGAATTTCGAAAATGGCTGGATGTGTTTACCGTCTCATAGGGCGCCAGACCTCAAACTCAGCATAACGCATAAAAGTAGCGTTGAGTTCCAAATGTAAATTAAAATAACTTGCCGCCGCGGTTTAGCTTCACAGACGACGCAAATTTTGGTGATTTCACGTTGTTGTTTTGTAAAGGACGGCTAAGAAATGTACAAAGTTTTAAAACGCGCGTGCTGGGCTTTTGTTCTGCCAATTAGATCTATTCTTTTTTCACGTTCTCGTTGCCGTAGCCGTCGTGGTTTGCTTAAAGTCCCCAATAATATTTGCGTTTAGCGGCTGTTCGAGATCGGTGGAGGCGCGTGATTGCCGCTCAGATCGAAAAGAAACCGAAACCCAAATAGGTTAACTAGGAAAAATCGAAAACCGCATCGGATGTCAAATCCGAAAACCCGTTAGTATTTTTCGCGAAAACCGAAAACCAAATGCATAAAAACGGAAAATCCGCAAACTGCAATGAATACCAAACCCGAAAAACCGACGTTTTTAAGCACAAAACCCGAAAAACCGATCTAAAAAATAGCCAAAACCGCAAAACCGAAAACACCAATGTCCCCCTCCTAAAAGAGGGAAAAATCGAGGTTTTCTTTTCCATTTTCTTCTTTTAACTTTTGAAAATCGTTCAGTTTTTGTCCAAGATTGTCGAAAGATACTCACATTACTATTACAACAAGAAGGGCAATACAACATAACAACTGTCAGTTAGTTTTCAATGATATCCTACGGGCGTTGCTGTAATTTGTTGTTTAGAATTAGCAAATGGCAGCTGTCACATCCATTTATGTTTTAGCTGACAAGCGACCCTTTCCTTCGGCGGATTTCTTTACCATCGATGGTAAATAGCTTTTAATGAGTTTACACTTGAATCAGTGAGGCCCTACAAATATCGATCCTTGCTAGCAGTTGGTCTAGATGTGATGTCGTGCTGAATCTGTCTTGAGTCTTCTGAAATTTCGGCTGATTAATCCAAGCCGTCAAATGTATTAATCAGCAAATCATACAGAATTGCCAATGGGCCCAGATGGGGTGGGGGAGGGGAAGAAGGAGGTTGGGGACGAGACCACACTCCTCAGTCACAGTGAAGTGCAATGGAACTACCTTGTGTAGTTACTTTGGCACGTTTTCACAGTGAACGGGTTCTTAATTAGGATTTCCAACACGGCGCCTTAATTTTCTGATTTCCTGAAATCAAACAGTGTTTTGAGTTCCAAGCTTTCATTTACATGTATTGTGACAACCAAAATACAATATTTCATACCCCGCTCCCTTATCTCAAGAGGAAGCGAAGAGGCGTACCAAAGGGTATATAGTTTATTTGCGTTTCATTATGGCGGGCTCACCATAACAATGATCTCAGAAGTTATTTACAACTCCTATGAAATTTGCAAGGGCGGAAAAACGTCAGAGGAATGTTAAATGAGTAAACAAGGATGGTTATTGAAATATAAAGGATCAAATTGTAATGAAATTGCGCCCTTCATAAATGTAATGACTATGCTTTGATTTTCAAATCTTGTATGTAATTTCCCATTTGAAAAAGACCAGGTCAGCTATCAACGGCAGAAATTTTTATCTCATTCATCTGTTATCTAAGCATTCCTTATCGTGTGTTTTTCAGTGTTGAGTTTGAAGTGCTACACCTGCACCAGTTCCGAGTCATGGGATAAATGTAAAGGAGAAAGCACGACCTGCGTGGCTCCGCTTGCTGATAAATGTGTTAAGGTTTATCTTAAAGTTGGGTCAGCCGAAACGTTCGCCAAATCGTGCGGATCCGATGCTTCCTGCAATAAGGAAACCAATGCTTTCTGTAAAGGCGCCAGTGGATCGTTTGAGTGTGACATCAATTGCTGCACAGGTGACGACTGCAATGCTGGCTCAGCAACCCATATCAGTGGTATTCTGTTAATGTCATGCGCCTTGGCCTCTCTGATGATCTTTTTCAAAGCCTGAAACTTGACCGAGGTTGAGTTCAAGCACAGCTCACGATCAAGGCTGCAACTATCATACGCTTTTTACAATGATGTTGGTAGTGAATTTGAATAGGACTTTTTACATAGGACGTAGTAGTAGTCAATAGGATGATTCTCGTTAAAAAAGGGATGAAGTAAATACGATTTATTGCTACAAGTAAGGGTGCTAGTCCATCTTAGTCTGTCACGTTTTGTGCTGATTAGTTACAGAAAAAAATAGGCAATTTTTTTTATTTTGTTAAATGACGCAGCTTTGGAAAAATAAAACGTTGTTTCTAACGGCCTCTTCTTTAAGAGTCTCTGATTTAATCAGTACTATTCGTTAAGACTCTTGTTATAGTCATCAGGATTTTGCAATCCTTCTGCCCCTCCCCCTCCCGCCTAGCCTCTCCCTCCCTCCCTGGGATTGCCCTGATTATGTGTGTTAAATTTACCTCTAGCTCTCATCTATCTCAGCCCTTGTTTGGCGTGTGAGCAGCTTTCCAACTCCACTGGGTTCCACCGGTAGTTCCCCGGTTTTGATTTAATCTGGAGCTTTTGGTTACAAATTAATCAATTCACCAATGATAACTTCGATGATATCTATTATAGTTTCTACTTTTCGTAGAAACTATAACACGGTAGGCGTACGATTTGAAACAAACCAGTCCTCGAAAACAAAACGCTCCGCAAGGTTTACTATGGCGCGTTTTTAGTTTTAAAATTCAAAACCTCAGTTGTGTCAGACTTGCTATTTTTCTATTCAAATATTCAATCCTGTGATTGAAACCTACTCCGATTTCCAGTTCCTCAATCGAACTTCTTGTTTGACAATTCAGATACGCTATTTGGTTACTGAAACATCCATTGTTTCAATTTAAAACCAACATTTCTTCGATTCAGTTATGCCCTTTTTCTATTCAAACGTGCAATCCTTCGTTCTATAAATGTTTTTCTACTAGCCAAACACTCAGGTCGTCTAATTCAAACGTGCTATTGTGCATTTCAAATTTTCAATCTCGCAGTTCAAAATAGTCAGTTCCGCAAGTAAAAATGCTATCCTTCTATTCCAATATGCAATTCTTTACCGCAAATCTACTATTCGTCAATTTAAATACACTATTCGTCAGTTCAAATAGGCTTTTTGTCGACAGAAACACGCAATCCTACGAAAACGAAGGTCCTTACGGAAATCTTGAATTCTGAATTTGGCACGTCTGTAATTTATTATGAAATATTTCAACAGTAGAGCCTTATGGAGCCTTAAATGGGACTACTTTAAAGCTAAAACGAAATTTAGTCGAAGAGACATGACATGCACATGGAAGACGCGTTGCGTGACGCTTAAAGCGATGCAGGTAACGATAACATTAGAAAAGACAACTGTCAAGAAGAACATATGGAATTCATATATTCCATCAACTAAAATAGGATAACTGTATTGATTTGATGTTAATTACGTTTCCCGTTAGCTCTTTCTTTTCAACGTAAAACAAATATATTAAGCGAATCAAATGTCTCCAGTTGCAATCGTTTTGTTTTATTTATTGTGTTCGTTATCAGTATTCTTGAGTTATGTTTTAGTATTAGCTTACATAAGCCATTTCCCTTTTTTCTTTTCTATCGTTTGACTTTAGTTCGAAACACGCTCTCATCCACAATTTCAATTTTTACCGCCTCCCGGTTAGCTCAATGGATAGAGCGCTGGACTGCTATGCGGGAGGTCGAGGGCTCAATGTGCTACCTTTCTATAACATCAGAAATGATTAGATATTCTAGTCTTCTCGGATAGGGACGAACAAATGGAGGTCCCGTCTCCTACAGGGCTAGGGGTAGGAGACGTTAATTTCCCACGCACGAGATTACTGTGTGATGGATGTCCTCCCCTGGGGTGGGATTTATTGGGTGGACTACTCACACGGTTCGCATATGTTCCGTTCTACCCTACTGCGGTAATGCAGTGAAAATGGTTAGAAATTTTGTCATCCGTTCACTATACTGTTTTGATTCGCCGCTTTTTCTGATAAATACTCTGATTATTCAACCCTTCAACGTGCTCGAGCTCCCGGGGTTAAATTGTCATCACAGTCTACACGTGGCTTTGCCCTGAAAAGTTACATTCACAAATGGTTTCACAACAAAATGGGGTGTAATCTAGCTGTCAAGGAAACTCTCCTGACAAGTCCAAGCACCGGACAATAAAATTTCTTGGGCAGAATCGGTCACTTTTACGTTTTGCCGACGGATAATATCGGCAAGCAAAAGTAGCCACCATATACTTCACAGGTTTCGTGGGTTTTTACCCAAGAAGTGACTGGCAGCCTAAGCAAATTGGGAAACAAACCTAAGTCGCGATTTCCAGTGTAGGTGATTAACTCCTTTGTTTGCGAAACAGATAACATCGATTTTGCGCTTTCCCATATTACAAGTACAGCAGTGTTGAGCAGCCATAATCAGGTTTTGCATAGCAAGCAAACAGAAAAGAAGGACGTTTAAAACATTTCGCGGGGGCATTTTGCTTTGCGATCAGTCCTTGATCAGAAACGACATAAAAGAAATCGCATTGTCACGAAATCTCGGTATCTTTTTGGATTGATTGACATTTGTGGTTATCCAAATAATTCGCACGTCTCAAGTGCGAACGCTAATGCAAAAACAGAAAATTCGTTGTTACAAAATTTCCAATTTTTTTTGCAAATACTAAACTAATTTTTTCGGTGAAGTGCGAACAGGGCCAATGTGACCGCTTCTGCCTGAGAAATTTTATTGTCTGGACCTTGGACTAGTCAGGAGAGTTTCCTTGACTGCTGGATTACACCCCATGTTGTGAAACCATTTGTGAATGTAACCTTTCAGGGCAAAGCCACGTGTAGACTGTGATAAGAATTTAACCCCAGGAACACACGTTGACGGGTTGAATAATCAGAGTATTTATTTGATGTGAGTGTGTTTCGAACTAATCTCAAACGATAGAAAAGAAAAAAGAGAAATGGCTTATGTAACTCAAGAATACTGATAACGAACGCGATATTATAAATAAAACAAAACGACTGCAACTGGAGACATTTGATTCGCTTAATATATTTGTTTTACGTTGAAAAGAAAGAGCTAAGGAAACGTAATTAACATCAAAGCAAGACATAGTTGATGGAATATATGAATTCCATATGTTCTTCTTGACAGTTGTCTTTTGTAATGTTATCAGTTACCTTCATCGCTTAAAGCGTCACGCAACGCATCTTCCAAGTGCATGTCTCTTCGATTAAATCTCGTCTTAGCTTTAAAGTAGCCCCATTTAAGGCTCCATAAGGTTCTACTGTTGAAATATTCCGTAATAAATTACAGACGTGCCAAATTCAGAATTCAATATTTCCCTGAGGATCTTCGTTTTCGTAGTGTGTCTCATGACCATAACGAATTTGTTAATGAGTCTTCGTTTTCGTAATTGGTCTTCGTTTTCGTAATTGGTTTTCGTTTTCGTAATTGGTCTTCGTTTTGGAAGGGGGTCTTCGTTTCGGTAGGGGGTCTTCGTTTTCGGGGTCTTCGTTTTGGTAGGGGGTCTTCGTTTTCGGGGTCTTCGTTTTGGTAACTACCGTCATCTGCTACTGACTCGTTAACTTCTGGTGCTCTTGGGTTCCAAGAACACCGTAGATTATTCAGGTTTAACCCTACGACCTGTCAGACAACAAACAAAAAAGGAAAGAATGGTGTAACGCGTACGTCGAAAAAGGTGAAAGGGCCCGCGTGGACCAGGACTTTCGAGTTGCAGGGAAATACAAGCGAAGAAAGAATGCCAACCCCCAAAGAGTACCGAAAGCTCAAAGCTGCTGATCTCGGAGAAAAAAGATTGACATTCTTCGCTGACAGCACCTCTTTTGATTTTGAGGGTGTGGACAAAACGTGGGGTAGGCCATGGCCTACCCTGTGGCCTATCCTGTGGCCTACCCTATGGCCCTATCGGTGGTCAGGTTTTTAAAATCATTAAAATAAAATCAGTGAGAGTCGAACGAATACGCTGGCGTACAATTCTATGTCTTTAAAAAGGGTATACTAAGAGGTCGCTAACACGATTTTCGACGTCCGAGGGAACGAAACGATGCAATTATTACAGCACTCACCCAAGCACTCAACCATAACGTTAGGTTAAGGGGGAGGGGAGAGGAGGGGCCAATATTGCGTGGTCGCAGAGGATATGTATAATGGCGGCTTCATGATACAGGCTGTCAGTTGGTAACATATAGTGGAGTGCTAGTGTAAAAATGTAGTGAACGGCGCTATATCGGAGAATATATCCAGGTAAGAAAACGAAAAGATTACGTGCCAGGCCAATTTTTGAAGTGCCTCTTAAGTGATGTAGAGTATCGAATTTGCAACGAGCACCCCGGGACACGCACGCATCGCCGTCATAAACATTTCGCAAACTTTACTTGCTTTTCCAAAGAAAGGGCCAGTGTTGCACTAGCTTGAAAGGAGAGCTGATATGATGATGTTTGCCGAAAAGTTGCGTTTAACAGGCTTATGTTCCTCGATTTCCTTATTCTATCAGAAGGTTAAGAAATTTTGATAGGAATGTGGCCGCCAAAACAGCAGAAGAAAGTCGTTGGTAAGACAGTACTCAGGAAAACGTTAAAAGGTTTCCAGCAATGCTATCCTTTTAAAAATCTGACCACCGGTAGGCCATAGGGTAGGCCACAGAGTAAGCCACAGGGTAGGCCACAGGGTAGGCAACAGGGTAGTCCACAGGGTAGGCCAAAGGGTAGGCCACAGGGTGGAGATGTCCACTTGGCAGTGATTAAATTAAATTAAATTGAATTGAATTAGTTTACATGAGTTCGGTGGTGACGATACAGTCCGATTCTGGAAGAGCAAATTCTCTGACAGACTGGACATCTGAAATCAGTGGAGGTTGGAACTACGCTGGCATTTTGTTGTCTTTCTTTTCTCGCCAAGCGGAGACTCTCACAGTGCTCCCTCCTCCGTTGCTCACTATGCGCCACATCAGTGTGGATAGCACTTCTCCAGCTAGGCCGGTCATTGGCCACTTGTTCCCAGTTCTCGGGGTTGATACCGCACTGCTTCAGGTTGTGTTTAAGGCTATCCTTAAAGCGTTTCCGTTGCCGCCCCTGGTTACGTCTTCCATTGGACAGTTCACCATACAGAATTTTCTTTGGGAGTCTGGATGAAGGCATACGGACAAGGTGACCAGCCCAGTGAAGTTGGTTCTTGGTAATATAGGACTCAATACTTAGGACCCAAAACACTGCTGTTTGTTGGTCTGTCTTGCAACTTGATGTTGAGGATACGGCGAAG